TGTGTATAAGAGACAGTATCTGTACAGTAACCAGATCTGAAAGAGATGTGTCAATCTATAAAAACAACTTTTAGCACTGATTTATGTCTTGGGATTAGCTTCCTCATTTTCAAGTACTTCCTATATAGTTTTAAGGAACTCTTATACGTATTCCCATTCTGTTCACATAGCCCATTCTCACTTCAGGATATTTAATACTTATGTAGTAGTTAAGACATAGTTTTTTACGTGTGTGGTTTTTATTTTTAAGGTGTGCAGGTAAAAATAGGTTCACGTTCTTGAATTACAGCTCGTATTTCAAATTGCTGGCATCTCAGTATTAGGACATGCATGTTCTAATACAGACATTTGTCAGTAATAAGTTTTTATTATGGAAGAGAGAATCTGTTTATTCCTGTCACTAGATAATCCTTTCGCTGAAGGAAGTACGAGATTAGGTTGTCCTAAAGTTTAACTAATCTGGACTGTATTTCTTTGTGTTGCATCCTATTTATGGGATAGATGCTATGTGGTGGCAGGAGTCCTGTAAGCCAGGTATTTCTGTGCTTCTTGAATTCTTAGCCACACTTATCAAGATGGTGAAACATGCATTTGATTTTGTCATCCTACAGAACTCTGTTTGACCTTATCCTCAATTTGAGGAGGAGGGAAATAAAGTATTTATGAAAGATCTAGGCCTAAGTGGCTCCCAAACCAGCTGGCCTTCTGGTGACTCCTTGCTGAAGTACAGCTTGGACTGTACGGTGGCATGCAGACTGAATCTTGCCCTCAGGACATGACTGTGTCACTTGCTTCTTCCCTGGGGAGGTGGAAAACTGCAGTTTGGACAATATGCCCAAACATCCTTGAAGTGAAGGATCTATAATGGGGGACCTAGCTTAACTGTTTTAAATGCCTACGCTTTGTCTAGGTTTATATGCTGTGTTACAGTTGGAGGGTTATGGAAAGTAGAACATATGAAAATGAAATGACTGTGCAGCAAGAGTCTTAGTTACTATGTATAGTCTTTTGTTTAATTTCAAATATATATTTCCATTTTCAACTTTCTAAATGCTTGCTAAAAGGATAGCTTTGAGCAGACTTGGCGACAGTTCTCCAGTTAGTTTTTTAAGGCCTATATCCTATATGGTGTTTGTTTCCTAAGGTCCAGCTTCTTAAATCTATTAATGTTTTCCAGTGAACTTGATGATGACTTGCTTGGAGAGGATTTGCTAACTGGCAAAAAGGTAAGCAATGTATGTTGAAGTGAATTGTTACAGATATTAAAATGTGAATGTTGTTCAATGTACCCACCAGTTATTTGATATGGCCTTTTCTGTAATTTATGGTCACCTCCCCAAGCCTGACAGGCACAGGTCCCCGAGATCTGCCCTGTTGCCGGAGCACTCTGCACCTAGAGCTCTGTTTCTTTTTGTGAAGTACCTCCAAGTGTGGCTTTTTAAAATACAACTTTTAAAAGTGTTTTTTTTTCTGAGATAGTACTTCTTCTCATAACACATGGTTCAAAAAGATGATTCCCAGAATCAGTTTCTCTGTAGCTCATATTGACTTAACAATTAAAAAACCAAAACAAAACCTAATTATGCCTCCTCAGTGCTGATTAGCATTCTGGTGAATTCACTTCAACTGCCAATTTCCTGGCTCTTAAAAGTTACTCATCAAAATACCAGCAGTATTTACCAGAGGGTAAATAAAAAAGCAATTGGTGGTGTCTATTAAAGATCCACTCACTGCACATGATCTACTGCTACTTTGACGATTAGGTAAAGGGTTTCCCCTTCTACAGTGAGGGAAGAATATGGGAGCAGCTAGCCTTAGAACATGAGTCCCCCTGTGTCTGCTATAGACTCCTCACTCTGATACTTATTTCCAGAACTGAACTAACTGAAAAGAACTAAATGTATGTTTGGATTTGCCAGATATCTACAGAAGACAGGGCTTCTGTTTGGCAAAACTGCTAGTCATCTCTTTCTTCACTTTATCTGCTAAAGGAATTAATTGAGAAAATAAGTTTTAAAGTTTTAGTTGGAGTTGAATAGGTTTGTGGAGAAACCCAGTTCTAGTAAAGTTGAATTTTAATTGATGTAGTTTTTTATAATCACACTCCAAATGTTAGAAGTTAGCTTCTTGAAATTATTCTGTAAGTAATCCCTATTAAAGATAGGAAGTTCTTTTGCCTCATGTACTGGTTTAAAAAATAAAATGAAATTCCAGAATAGGGATTGCATATGTGTGTTATGCTTTTATCAAAATAAAATCCTTTATCAAAAGCATAAGCAGTTAACATTGCATACATCTTTGTAGTTGAAATGTGAGTTGATAAAACTACTTACTTATCTAAAAAAACAAAAAATTATCTGTGTGAATTCTATCCAATACTGGATTTCCCCAATGTGTTATGTGTTCTTGTGCTTTTTCTAGTTTTCAGTTTCTGTGTTACAGGGCACTGAGCAGTATCTGTGGGTATGGGTTCATGGTGAAGTAATAATAGATTTCTCAGGAAGTTTTCCCTGAGCTATTTATGCTAAACTTGCTTCTACTTAATCTCATCCCAGTACTTTTAGATAAATCTACCCTTGTATAACCTTTCTTCCCCTGTTACTTCAGGAGATGGAAATAATGTTGCTGAACAAAACTGCAGTTACCTTCCTAATGGCTAATTATTTAAATACATAAATAGAAAACTGAAAGTATGATAGACAAATTAGGAGAAAAGGCACAGTATTTTCTTCTGTGGTTTTTCTTCACATACAGACATTATGGTTTTTCAGTTTTCTTCATATCCTTTCCTTCAGTCTTCTGAGTATCTCTGCTCTTTAGAAACTGCAGTAACTTAGTGGGGTTTTTTGACGTGCCTAATGAATCAAGATCACAAGGTGGTGTACTAAAGCAGACCTTTCTTTCTTTCTGGTATTGAGTTGTCATCTTTGGCTTTATTTGGGAATGCATCAGGGTGGTGTTGATAGCTAGGCAAATTTGAGTTTTGTAAATCTCCATAAGACTGTCAAACATATTCAGATTTGTTGTCTTGTGTAGCATATCTTTTCTCATTGAATTAGGTAATTTCATCGAAGATATGGTCTTAGTCTGGGATGTGTTCTTCATAAAAAATACTTAGTGTTCAGATGTTTCAGTAGTTTCAGTACCTAGTTAGTTAAAAGGTTTTTTGTTTGTTTATTTGTTTGTTTTTGTTCATGATTGACTTTTTCTGAAACCTAGAACCAGTCAGACTTGTCAGATGAAGAGCTGAATGATGATCTTCTGCAAAGTGACAATGAAGAGGAACAAGAATTTCGGTATCTCTTTTCTAAATCTTGTGGTTTGGGTAACTCAAAGCTGTTAATGACTACTACTACTGATAACTAATAACTACTGAACTGATGTTATTGGTATATACTTAGAATAATTTTGCTTATTACCTAGCCAGATACTTCATGGTGTGTGTGTGTATGTATGTGTGTGTGTGTATATATATATATATATATATATATATATATATATATATATATATATAATGTATTCAGTAGCATTGTTAGCATTTCAGTAAAATGATTTTTTGTTTATTTGAATCTAATAAATTTAAATTTATTAAAAAGGCTCATAAAGAAGAAACTGCATCATCTTCTGTGCACTTAGAATTATTTACAAATACTTACAGAGCTCTTACTCTGCCCTCATGTTATCATTATAGGCTTCCTTCTCCCATAAAGTAATTTTCTGCCATCTTTCTTTTAAAAATATATCTTGCCTCCTGAGGAGAACTTCATAGTTTGTAAGGCTTGATTTATGACTTAAATATTTGTGTACAATTACACAGCGAATAATTTTCTTACAGAGTTTATAGGCTTGAGCAGGTACTTCCACAGGAGTTTACTGAGGATCATGCCCTGTGAATACTCTGTGGTAATACAGCTCCACAACTGAATTATGGGCATTACAAGTCAAAAATTAGTTTCTTGACTCTTTTACTTTTCAAGCTGAACTGAAGGAGGAAGGAGGATGCCTGTGATGCAGTAACACTGTTGCTTTTAGTGGCCTGTGTATTTTCACAGCTTTTCCTTATTGCATGCTATGTAGGCATGTCATCTGAAAGTGTAGGAATATATATGTACAACATAGATATATACACATATATATATATTGCTCTGAGATTTCCTTTCTATCCTTGGTTGGAATTAGGATAAGGAGTCCTGTCCTGTGTTGCATTGATGAGGGTGTTGTGAAGTACTACAGACCATCATCAATCTCTCCCATTTGCTGCTGTTTCCTCTCTCCTCTCTGCAGGAGTGAGGGTTGGACTGTTCCCTTCAAAATGGGGACTCCCAGTTACAGTCCTTGCTGTTACTTCTCTGGATTTCCTCTTTGTGAGCCCTAGGTAGCCTATGTAACTTCATGAGTAATAAGAAAGTATCTGAAGTGTGATAATACTGCTCAGTGGAAGTAGGTTTCTGTAGACAAGTCTTGCATTTTTACCAGTCTTTATTGCTACAGAGTGAGAGCCTTGCTCCACTCCTTTCCCCTCTCCCTTTATTTCCAATCTCATTTATGCTTCTGTAGTTGGGAGGATAATGATAATCCTGCATAATGTTTTCATTTTCATGCTAAATCTCTTTGTGTCATAGATGCAAATAGTTTAAAGCTGCCTGGATCTTGTATCCCCAAATTTAGGAAAACAGTGAATAATAGGAATGTAATAAAAAAAAATCTTTGTTTTCCTTGTACCCAGAGCCCTCAAATCAAGAAGAGCTTTTCCCCCCCTGCTTTTTTAACTAGTCAGCAGTTGAGTAATTGCTCTTTTATGTGTTGATGGCACTGGCTATTGTAAACAGTATAATCTGGAGAAAAAAGCAGAACTCAGAATTTAAAATTGCTAGTTTTTGTATTGATTTCAGTGTCTGTGTCAGTGCTGTTACTAAGTTAGAATAAATCTTAGGCATTTAAATGTCAGTTCTTGACTATATATTTTAGATTATTTTAAGTAGAACATTAAATCTGTCATAAAAATACATCTGAATTCAAGATAAGGAGGGACAATATGAATATATTTAATGAAAAATAATTTACTAGCATATTCTGAAAGGTTGGAAAAACAGATGGAATTATAGTAATTTTGTGTATTTTTTTGTTAGTCTTGGAATTAAAATTGAATCCAGTCTGTTTTGGTTACCAAGCAGGACTTTTGCCAGTTTGACCTGCTAAACCATCTGGTTGGTTTGATTCCCCTGGTCAAATAGCCTGCAGCTGGTGATAAGCTGCAGTACCTTGTGTTATGGGAACATGGCACAGAGTCAAATAGTGTATGAGGTATAATTTTGTCGACCAACTTAGAGAATCTGTATTTGGCTTTGTTTTGCTAAACCTTTGAGTAGTGACCGTTACGCTTCAACCTCTGAATTTTTTCCCCCCTATACCATAGTTCTCAAGGTGTCACAGTTAGCCTCAATGCTACATCTGGCATACTTTCATCATACAGCCTCTCTGAGACCATCAATGATCCATCGATAGAACATGAGTCTGAGTATGACCAAGGGGAAGATGAAATTGTTTATGACAAATCTGAGGCACCTGAAGTTTATGCTTCAGAGTATGCAGAGGAAGGACATTATGAAGTCAATGATCCTGAACTGACAGAAGATCAAATAGAATATGGGGAAGAGCCTGGAGAAGATGATGAAGTGCTAGACCTTGAAATCAATGAACCCCTAGATGAATTTCCAGTGAGTTTCTTTCTATTGTATCTTTAAAGATAACATTACTTCACTTGCATAGGGTTTTAGACTGATTTGAAATCTGTTTACCTCCCTGGGGAGGAGGGGAAATTAGACCTATTATCACTGTCTGCCAGTTTCTTTATCTAGGCTGTGACAAAGTTTGTGTTGACAGCTTGTTTGGCGGTAGGTAATGCTCCTTTGTCATGCTGGAAGGCAGTTGAGAATCATGACCTTGAGGATTGTATCCTTAAGGAAGAAAACAGCTTTGTGTGGTGGAGATACACTGCCAATTGTTAGAAGTACTTAATGCAAAAGCTTTTATCCAGGCTTTAGACAAGATCTGATAAAGTCCTTCGAAGGTGAAAAGATTATTGACCTGCTAAAGACATCTTTAAGGTGCTAATATCCCAAAGTGATTGATGTCCTGCTCGTTCATCCTTTTTGTAACTGAGAACTGTCTAAACCTGAATAAAGAGATTGGAGGTTAGTTCAGAAAATGTCACCTGCATAATTCAATATAATTTAAGCAGCGTGTTAGAGAACATGCACTGGCTTTAATTGCTGGTGAAATGATTTAATCTTAATTAAAACTCTGTGATCAGTGATGTGTTTTAAAATACAAGCAAATTTATTTAAGAAAGGTTTTGCTCTTCTTTGTTTGGAATTGAACCTGTTCATATGTAAGCACTTGCAGAATGTTTTAAGAATATTATTTATATTTCTGATTTATATTAAGAATATTTAAGAATATTATTTATTTCTGATTTATATTTCTGATGGGGTAAAGTCTGATGTTGGTATATATGTGCATGTTTCCTTTGGTAAGAAAGTACTGCAGTGTTTGCTTCATGATTTAAGGATGTAGAAGTACAGAGGTAGATGGGGCAAACAGTAGTAGATGGGAACTTTATGATGACATTGCTGGGATCTGAATGCAAACTGTTTTGGTTATGTTCTTAATATTGTAATTATTGTCTAGTTAAAAACCTTGCTAATTATACCTTATATGTATGTCACTTATTATTGCCAGTTCTGATAAATAAAATACTTCCAGTTCTGGAAACTGTAACAATGCATACAGACCCTATCTCATAACAGGTTTGTGATTCTATAAAGCTGGCTTACACCTTTACACTTTCATGTGTTATTGTTTTAGGATGAAGACTACATGCAGTCATATAATGAGCAAGCAATGGAAGATCAAGAAGAATATACAGCTGATGAGGAGCTGGAAGAATCCCAGACAATGACAAATGAATCAGAAGAGGTATGTTGTGAATTTAATGGAAAATTAAAATTAGTTGTTTCAGAATTTGAATTTGTAGAACTGCCCATATCTCTGGGTAAGAACTGATGCAATTTTGCCAATGTGGAATTATTGGTGATAGTACTCTTTGTATAAGATCAATTGTGATAGCATCTGTATTGTCAGATAGATCAGATCCCTTCTTCCCACTGGGATGAAAATCATAAAGGAAGAACTCAAAATGTCCATAGTTAATCTTAGCTTCAACATTAGAAACTTCGGGGGCCCTTCTGAGTAGCAGAATGATAGTAATACTGCATGCTGTCTGTTAAATATCTATTAGCTATGGTGCCTCACTTTCCAGATGGGATATTTGCTTCTGTTGGGAGTATAGATACCGTTCTCGGTTATCCTTTGAGGAGGAATGTGAGCATGGAACGTTCTGTATGTTAGAAAGGCAAAGGTCAGGTTGGTAGTTTTTTTAAAAGAAGTTGTGTTGAGATCTAAATTTCTGTGAAGTGTATGTTAATTCTTCAATAAGAGAAAAGGATGAGTTTCTTCATTTTGAAAAAAGAAAACTTACTCCAAAACCTGTGAAATATATGTTCACTGGTTATAGCCTGAAACAGTGGTATCATACCTGTTAATAATTTGCAGCAAGTTTTTGATCTGGGATTTTTTTCCTTTCCCCACCAGGAATCTGATTTAATATTACTTTTATTCCAGTTCTTAATTAAATGGGATTGAATGGATTACCTGCTGAGAAGTGTAGTCAGAGTGTGTTCCCTCTTTGGAGCTTTAACTCATCAGGAAATTAATTCCTCAAAGACGCAGCAGTGTTATTCTATGAAATTCTAATAAATGGGTGTGCTGTGATATTCTAGTTGTATCAGACTTAATACAGTAAAACAACATTCTTTGGTAGGTGAAGAGATGCATTGAAAAGACCACCTGCATTATTCAGTCTTTGCTGTTGCAAGTGAGACATCTTACAGCAAATATACCTTAATGTAGTTAATTTCCTACTTTCTAAGTATTGAATCTACCCTTCCAAAGAAACATATTTTTATTCATTCCTGGATTATATACACTTCTCTTCTGGTGTTTTAAAAGCAGACTCATGTATTTGTGCTGTCTGCAGCCACAGTCTGAGTTGATGAAAACACTGTACATCATCTAAAATTAAGCACATAGTTGGGATTTGCTGTCAAACTTACTGCTTTAAAAAAGAACAGCTTCATTTTTAAAGTATGAACTAGTGAGAATTCTGTAATAATCACATTGTCTAAATTTGTCCAATTCAGAATTAAATTCCTTTCATTCAAAAGATAACATTAATGCAGTTTTTAATTGATTTTGTTAATATTGCTTTTAGAGAATTTGTTCATCATGTAATGTGAATGTTTTGACCACATCTTTATTAACTTAATCTACATTCTGTCTTTATCCTGATGGCTTGCAGATTGCCACAAGTTCCTTGTTTCCAAAGTAGCACCATCTTTTTATTCCTTTATTTCATATGTAGCTTCTTTACATTTGTCAGTAGGCTTAATTTCACTCTCCAAATGAGAATACCACAAAGGGAGATAAGGTTTGTAGACTATGCATTTCTGTTTATTACGTGGTTTGATGCATGCCTCTAGCTCTGAGTGGTTTTGTTCTTTATTTATGTGTTATGTAACAGCATTCCTCCTTAAATCTCATAACACTGCTTGTAAACAATGGTGTTTGTTGACATTCTCCTGGAGAAAATGCAGCACAAGAATGGAACTGTAATAGATGCAGTACGCATAAATAGCATTATTATTTCCCAACTGAAACTTGGCATCCAAATAACAGAGTGATAAAGTGTTTGGTAGTGTTGTATTTTAATCAATTTTCACATTAAAACTGAATAAAGCATCTTATTATATTGTAAGAAGAAATTTTGTAAACCAAGAGAAAAGCTGACTTGTTGGGGAATTGGAACATGATGAGGGGAAACTGGTGAAAAGGGAAGTGAGACACCTGTTAGGAGTGGCATTCATGGGGGTGTGAGGAAGAGACAAGAAAAGTTTGTGTCCTTGGCCAATTTAGGTTCAAGGCATGCTTTTCCACTTGATATTTAATCTGAACCAGTGCTTAGAACTTGGATTTTCAGTAAATAACACAGTTTGTGAAACTTGAAAAATGTAGCGATGCTTCAGAAAATATTTGTGCCTTCCTAAGGTACAAAGCAAAATGCAGTACCTGAAAGTTTCAGCAGCAAATAGGTATGGTAAAACTGTCAGTTACATGAATTATCATGACCAGATATTTTTAGATTAATAATATAATTAATTATTTCTGCAAAAGATTAATAAAAATGTAACCCCCTGAAATTAGAATAAATTTCTTTTATATTGGAACTAATCCGTGAAGTCTGTGATGGGGGTTTGTCGTTGCGTAAATTTAACTCATGTCTTGGGTTGTGCTGATAAGAAATGATGAGGACTTCAATCAAGAAAATATGTAATGAAGAAGTAGTGCTGCATACTGCTTTTCTTTTGGTAAAATAGAGACTTGGAAAAAAAGGCCAATGCATCTGTTGAATTGTTCCATCTACGTTTAGTCAAAATTTACACATTTTAGTTCTTTTGTTCAAGTTTGAAGCCACTACCTGTCAGCCTGGAGGAAAATGGTGAAGAGTGCAAATCAAAATAGCCAAGTTTTAAACATTTAGAAGCTCTTAGGTTTGTTTTTTTATTCCCATTTTTCATCTGTGAAGTGGAGGTGCCCTTGGAATAGCTGTAACATCCTCTTATCTGCTCTCTGTTCTTTCTTGATCCCTTAGGATTGAGCAATTGCTGTTGATTCAGTGCCAGCCTCTGGTAGAAGCTTCCACTGCTTATTTTCTGTCTAGTTAATAAAAGTTCTTTGTTTTACCTTTGTGGTGTTTCATGTGGAAGGAATCTAGTTTAGCCTTTATACCACTTACCTGTTTTGTACATTTTGGCAATCTCCGACCCAAAGCTCTCCAGAACACTTGACAATCCTGTGTTTGGGAGGATACTGTGCTAAGGTCAGCATTTACCACGATGACTAGTGTTTTCTCCTGCATTCCTTGGGCTGTGTCTGTTAGTCCTGCAGCTGCTTGGTAAGCTGTCTGGGGCAGGAGCACTCCTCTCCATAGCAGATCATAACCCAGTGTGGGGAGTTCTGATCAGTGGCTAGGATTTCTGGCATAATTATTTAATGAGGATGGCAGAAAACTCTGACCTTGTGATAGAAGAAAGGTCATTATTTTTCTTCATAAGGAAGAGTCAGTAAAGCTCTTTGGTAGCTTAGTGTAAGGTCTCATAATAGGAAATGTTAAGCTCCCTTTGAGGAGAGCTGCTAAGAAGCCTTGGCTAGGTCGTCCAGTCAAGTGACCTCAAGTGGCTGTTTCAAGGACTGTTTACGTATATGCAGAGATATTCGTGATTAGCAAGTATTAAATAGAATCCTGTAAGTATATATTAATTCTATGTCTACACTTGTGTCTCTGCCTGTATAAATGTCTTCTGAAACAGAATCCATTCATATACTGTAATTTTGGCAAAACAACTTATCCTGTTAGGCTGGAAGTTGGAAAAGATGATCTAAAGAAGTCTTGCGTGTTACAACTATTGGACAGATTGCAGGGGAAGGGTGTGTGCTCCTATGCAGCTCAGATAACCTTTCCTGGAGCTATATGTAGAGAACATATGGTTGGTTGTCAGACATGTTTGTGTCTCCATTGCAACTAATATAACTCCCTCAATAATAAGTGTAATCAGACTTGGACATGGGTCAGTTAGCATTCCTGAGCACTGCCTTTCTTTAGTGCTGCTTTTTCATTAGCTCCTTTGATTATTTTTTTTTCTTTTATTGGTCTTTAATATTTAATTCTTGTATGACTGGTGTGTGTTAATAGGTGGCATGAGCATTATACTGATGAATAAAGGGAGTTAGACCCAGAAGACTACAGAATTGGTATAAGTGGCTAAGAATACCATAGTGTTGGTCCAGAAAAGTGAGAAAAGGTTTTTTTTATTGTTGCATAGAAAGTAGTTTTGCAGTCTGTTACAACTTGCTTTTTCTTTTGAATGGATTTTTTTTCCCCCCCAAGAATGAATGATTATCAAAAGACAACATAGCTTCTGCAGATATTTTTCTGTACCATTCCATTCAAGCATTGCAAAATTTTTCAGGACAGTGCAGATTTCCTTAACCAATCTAGTCCTGATTCTGCAGTATGAGCCACAGAGAGCCTTGCACAAGTAAGTTTTGCACTCACAGAGGAGATTACATGACTGAGACCGGTCTTTGTTGAATTCCAGTGGAGATTTTGAGGGACGGGACATGGACATACAGAGTGCATGTGTCTGGGGTTTATGCTCTAAAGTAAAGCAGAAGGCTCAGTGTAGTGAGAGAGCACATATTGCAAAACAGCCACCTCGTTTCTGACTTCCAGATCTGGTCCCTGAAGGGAATAATTTTGAAGACAAACATTAAGACAGTAAAATGGGGTTTATGGTATTTAAAAACAGATTTGATAGAGATAGTGCGACTCCTTTCTCTTTTGGGAGTCCCTGTTTTGAAAATAAAACAGTAACCCTGTTTTTCTCCCTTGTTTTATTATTAAATCATGTTAATGTCTCTTTTCCTTCCTAACATACATCCCTCCTCTGTTCTGTGAGTCTCAACTTCCTGTCCTCAGGGGTGCTTTTTGATTATATGTGGAAATGTTAATCAGACCAGTTGTTCTCAATTCAGGTTTGTTTTTGAGGTTAGGATTTCTTTCCGTCTCAAATGATTTTTTTTTTTTCCTGCTATCCTGTCTATTGTTTTTTAGCTGCATTTTTTGATATGATAAAATTGTTCTATTTTAAAAAGATACTTTACAAAAAGCTTTAAGGCTTATATAAAACTTTAGCTATTTTCTTAGCTATATTGTAAAGCATTTTGGTGATGTCATGAAATTTAGTACTTGAATTTTGTTTGGAATGGATAAAACACATTCTGAGATAAGGAGATGATAAATTGAAAATAGCTTGGGATCAGTAGCCCATTAAAGCCCAGTAAGTAAGTGTACAGAACATTTATTCACCAGACCAAAGTTGGACTAGCTTTGAGCTTGATTTGTTTTTTCCATTCTTTTCCTTTTTTTTTTTTTTTTTTTAATTTGAAGGAGAGGGATCCATTTTCTTTTGGGACATTGTTTCATCTGCATAAATGTTCTCCGTTACAGGGAGAACTGGAAAGTAAATGAGGACGAAGGAGTAGTGTTGCACTATACAAATTTAGTATATTCAGATTTTATCCAATCCTGTTCTGTAGTCTCTTTGTCAATTGCTGAATTAAAATTGGGAAGTATTCAAGGAGTAGGAAAAAAAGTAAAACCAAGTAGTTATACATACCTAGAGGAATAAAACTGAGATGCAAGGTTATCTGTTAAGAAATTAAAAAAAAAAAGTTTGTATTACTTGAATCTGGCAGTATGACAGGTTTGCATCTTATTCAGTTCAGTGATTAAAAAAAAAAGTAGCTACTGACCTATCTGGAAGTTTGTTTTGTTTTGTTTTTTACTGGTGGTTCTAACTGGAGTTTCCATATTCCCTTAAATATTGTAGCAAATGGGTTTTCTCAATGGATTTTACTATATATTTTATAATTCATATTTTTGTATTTTAAAAATCCACTAACCTTTTAAATGTTCACTGAGTTATGTATGAGAACAATGGATAATGCCAGGAAAACTTGTACAAAGGGACCTTTAAAGAAAGCTTTGTCTTTTGACGCTCACTGATCATGAGAAAGTAGTTTTTTCAGTTTTCATGTCCTCTGTATTTTGTGATTCAGGCAGCTATTGAATCTCTGGAACTTCAAGAAGAAGCAAAAGAAGAATCTGATGAAGAGGAGGATGATGATGAAGAGTCTGGACGATTACGTTTCAAAACTGAACGGAAAGAAGGAACGATAATTAGGCTCTCAGATGTGACAAGAGAAAGGAGAAACATTCCAGAAACTTTGGGTGAGGTTTTGTGGCAATGAACTATTTTGAAGAGCTATAATAAAAGAAAGTAAAAGGCTTGCCAAAACTTATAGGAAAGAGTTTCATGGCAAAAGATCAGAGTCTTCTGACTTAAACTGGCCTACATCCAAGTTGTCCAAAACCATGTGTAGTCTGTTGTAGTATGTGTAGTGTCCATCTCCTTGGGAATAACGTTTAAGCATACCAGGGTTTGAAAACCAGTGTGGTGTTTGTTCATTGAGACTTTTCTGGTGTCTATAAAAGCTGTCCTGCTTTCAAGCAGCAGCTATCTGATCTGTTCAGTAAGTATTGTGGTCGAATACGTTTTAAAGACTTCCTTCGGACTTCCATCCTTGGAAGATTTTCAGTTGATAACATGAATCTTGTTACTTATGTTCTGCTGTGAAATACCTGCATGTTTGCTGTTTTTCCCCAGGAGCGTGTGCTATGAACCTGTTGGCATAGAGAAATTGTAACTTGCTGGGAAGTGTGTTAGAAAAATACAGAAACCTCTGTTTTCTGAGTTCAGTTTTTCTAACATGGAACTTTTATACCACCTTCATTCTTTAGGCCTTGTTCAAAAGAGTATATTTTCTTTGTATTTGAGTAGCATAACACAAGTGTGTTTGTTTCTAGGATCACTGCTCCATGTGGCTAATGAATTTGCCACTGCTACTTCAGAAGCAGCAGTAGATTTTCAACCTTCTTGCAGCTGCTTTGTAAATAAAATTACACTGGTTATGGTTATGACAGTTAACATCAAGACCCTTCATGTGCCCTAGGTACTCATGTATCTGATACTGGTGGTGTACCTGCCCCACTGGGGATAACTATATTGCCTCTTTATGTTGGCCTTATGATGGTGGTAATAATAATAAATAGTAGTAATAAAAAATCAAATCAGAAAGGTGATATTAGGGAGATGGGCAGAAATTAAGTTTTGCTTTCAGAAAGGCGTACCATTCTCATGGTTTTGCTACTGAACCAAAATACCAATTCAAACTATGGAGAAAAAGCCTTGATCTTTTGAAGAGAATCAAGATATGCAAGAGGTGAACTGGTAATGAAGGTATATTGTCAGACACTGTTGGCTAATTGTCAGGTACCACCAGAAGATGATGTATATTTTGATGATACTTCAGGTTTTGCCAGACTGTAGGGATGGATTATTTGTGCAGGATTGCTTTAGGAAGGGTGCCGTGCAGCTTGCGCTTGGAAGCTGGGTGCTTCTGCTTGCTTTCTACATGAGTCAGTGTGATTGAGGCAGCAGGATTTTGGAATTATGTTCCCAGAGCACATACTTAGATTGCTGGAAGTCGTCCTGATTAAATCTTCCTCTTACCTTAAAGGCCTTGCTTTGCAAAGGGTGTTAGTTCTATGGATTTTGCTTGAGTTGCATAGCTTACTAATTCTTTAATTCTGTTGCAAGGAATTTCAGCTTTTACTATGCCTGCAAAAATTGAGAAGCCTTAACTCTATAACAAAGGTGTTGTGGCTAAGAGGACTTGTTCATGACCAGTAAGGACTCAGCTGCAGAGGCTGAACCAGACTGTCACAGCGGTATTCATGTAGGCCATGTCATGCTGTGAGAGGCACGTCAGTACGTGATTTTTAATCAAGGTCTTTCTCATATTTGAATCAAGGTTTTTCTAATATGTTGTTTGGTTTTAGTAAATAGCTCTTCTTACTTGCAATTTCAGGCAAAATGTGTATTGAGGGTCTTTATTCAGCATTGTTCTGATAATCAAGAATTGATTCTGATTAGAATAAAACTGAAGGGAACCCTCTAGAGGCACAGTCTGTATGACCAAGGGATGTTTTAATGGGTGCATTCCAAATGTGTTTACGATCATAAAACCATGTTTCTACATACCTCATGCAGACCATATCTTATACAAAGGTGCTGGTGGCTTTACAAAACAGAATATTTTAAAAACAAGAGTGCACTGGAATAGCTAAATCTCTGCACATAATTGCAAAGTAAATGACAATTGCATGCATTTTTGTTTATCTGTGGATTTACTCTATGTAAAGACAAGACCAGCCATTAAGGAGAAAACCTGTAGAGATATTTGACTGTTAAAGGAACAATGATTTGAATTAGACTTATTTTTCAGTGTAATTAGTGATTTGGGATGTATCTCTGAGATATAGGCAAAAGGTGATGCAAATACGGATAAATGTATAAACTGAAGAGCTAGTTTTTGAAACTAATTTTTGGCAAAAGTAGAGTCTTGCTGTTGTGAAATGGTTTCTATTTATACTAATTTTCCACTTTGATAAAGAGACCAAATGATTGACCATGTGGTGGAAAGTTAAACAGCAAAAAATACTCGTTTGCATATAAATATATGCTTGGTTTTGAGATTATAGAGCAAATTTTTACAGATGTTACTGGTTTAAAAATGAAACTTCATTGCAGAGCTACATGTCCTTACTTCAAACTCTGAACATAGTTGAGAAAACACTTAAAGAGGAATTAACATTTCAGTTGAAGTTACAAACGTAATTTTCATCCTGTCACATTTTGGTGACCTTTTGTGACAGCTTGTCTCTATTGGAGGAGTGCATTCTTACTTGCTGATTAAAGATGTCATTTGAAACCATTTTATTACCAGCCATAGTGAAATTAATCTTGACACTTAGAGACACTAGAAAAATAATTGCTGATTCACTGCATTAACTGTGTGTGTGAGAACTCTACAGTCAAGATGAGAATAAGTGTGTGCTGTTAAATATATAAAAATAGAGTATTCTTATAAACGTAGGTGAGATTTCCTCGACATTTCTTTACCCAAAATAATGTAAATAGTGGTTTTGAAAAGTCTAAAGGAGAGATATTATAGGACAACTGTGCAGTTGATTTTTAGAGATACTGAGTTTGTAATCTTTGAGAAATACATAATTTCTTTCAGTGCGTGTAGTTGAAGTCTTCCCAGAGTTGGAATTGTCATGCTCTGGATTTAGTTACTGTGAAGGAATATGAAGAAGAAAAATGGCTTTGTTTGGCATCACCAAACTATAAAGTATTCCCTTTATACCTATTGTAAAAAAACAAAACGCAACCCTACACGTAATGCAGAGCCAGTTGCAAAGCGGTAACAAAGGTTATTGGATGTGGTAGTACTTTTTGTTATGTCCTGCTTAGTTGGCTTATGTTCATTCTGATAACTCGTGGCTGAGATTTTGGTCAAGACTGGGAAATTAAAATGGGTGGTTTCACTGTTGTCCTGTTGCACTGTATGCAGAAAGACATAGTGTAGTCAGGTTTCCAGTGTGGATGATGGGGAGAAAAAAGTTAAAGGAGAACATTTGCTTGCTCATTTTAGATGCATATTTATGTAAATGTATATGTATTTTTTTATAGCTGCTCTGGAATGTGATTTATGTTGTAAATCTCTGCATTATCCAGGATAATAGGGATTCTGGGATTCTCAAACCTGGGGATTTGAAATGGCTGTTGATCTCAGGGAGTGACCCAAGGCAGACATAGCCTTGGAGACCTGCATTCAGTGTTGGTATAGGCAGGAGCTGGTGGCTGGGTCCTGCAGCAGCCTGCATGCACTGTCCAGGAGGCATGGCAGCATCCAACCTGGCTCACTGCTTTGGTGACAGTGCACACAAGCTCTTAGCTAGTGAGAAGCATTGGGCCTTTTCATGCGAATACCTGGTGGTGCTTTGGAAGAATCTAGTGAGGGAAGGAGGATCTGTTTGTCACCTCTTTTCTAGTTAGCAGTCTTATCTTGCTTTCAAGGAAGACGGGGGCTATTTTCCTTGCTCCCCTCCCTGAAAAACTGTCCTGCACAGTCTCCTCTCCTTCGTTTCTGTGTGTCTGGCACAATGCTCTCAAATTCAATAAACAGTCCACGTAATAATTGAGCTGACTGTATTGCTGTGTGGTGACTGATAGGAATACCTCAAGTGCTTTATATTGCTGAGTTCACTGCATGAGTCTTCCCTTCAGCAGACTCTCTCTAAGGCTCTGAACCTGCTGTTTTGTGTGTAAGCAGAATTCTTTGCAGGTAGGACACTTGCCTGAAGTGGCATGTAGTGGGGGAAGTATGCTTGATGTTAATGTAATGTTACTTTTTTTTAATCAAATAGTTATATTGTACTTCTGTGGTCATAGATGTGGCTGATGCTTTTGCTGCAGTGAATTTATGGGGGGGGGTTGTTTTGGTTTGGATATTTTTTTGAAGGTCAGTGTTACACATTTTCACTCTTCTGGCTGAAAAACAATGTGGGCTGTGCCTTTAAGGAAGGACTCAGCCTTTAAAGTTGGAGTACCTTTGTGTAAAGTGAGTAGGAAAAAAAGTTATTAGTTTATTTTAAAGAGAGTGAAAAGTACCTGCACATCGAAGATCATCAGGACTGACTTTGCCCTGGATGCTGTCAACCCTTCCCCATTAGCATGGTCCTCTGAAGTAATTTTGTTTGGAGCAGCCCATTTTTTCTTCTAAAGTTGTTTCTATTCGGTGTCATTTGATATGTGCTCAAGAGGCTAGCTCTATTCCCAGTTTCATTAAGAATTGCTTTCCTCACATGTGACTTCTCATCTGTTTGATAGGAGATAGTTTCTTATCATCCTGAATGAATATCAGTGATAGATACTTGTTTCAGTGACTGAACTTTGCTTTCCAAACTACCTTGCTAAGTTCAGGGTTGTAGTGTGGAAGATGCAGAAAAATTGCCCTGTCTGTCCTATTTGTGGAAGAAAAAAACCCCAAAACTTTTGGCTAGCAGCATGCCCAGGGTGCCCTGCAGGATTTGGATCTGCTCTGGTTAAAGGGAGGAGAGCTATTGCTTTGCAGTGTAATGGCACCATGTCTTCCCATAAGTACGTGGGAGCTACAGGTTAGTCTTTCCTGCAGACCAGCTAAAAGCCAATGTCTGCAGGTGGGAACAGGAAGGAAGCTCGAAATCAGAGCTCTGTTTTTCCTGTTAAACCAGCTTTTTTTCATCCCTGGCAGTTAAGGATGGATAAGGTGGTTTAGTCTCATCTAATGCTTTTGATTGCTTTGGACAAGAGTACATTTGTCTTAATTTCCCTCAGAAATCCATAGTGTGCAAATGTAATTCCATACTAAGACTTGAGGGAGTGTGATTCTTTGCTGCTTTCTAAGCATGCCATGAGATTTTCCTGATAAAGCCTGATTGTCTTGGGCTCTGCCATTGTCTCAGAGCAGGTGCTAGGGCAAAGGTAGCATTTCATAAGAGTATCTGGTGTGATTGTAAATTAAGGCTTTATGCCACGTAATTACATTGTCAGAGGGGAGAGAAAAGGAGATAGAGAAAGTTGTCTCATCACCAACACCCAGAAATGAAATAGGAAACTATATGGCAGATCCTGGCCTTTTAGGAGTCTGTCATGTTTGCTGTGTTCGTAGACAGCCAGCGAGTTCTGAACTTTTCTTGTAAAAGGAAAAAGCCCCTGCTTTCTGGAGGTGCTAAATACCTCTGAAAACTGGGACATGCAAATTTACAGTCTTTGCAGCTCAGTTGTGCAAGTAGTTTTTGTAGCTGTATAACAACAACTGTCACGGTGGGAATGTGCAGTGCTCACCCTTTTCTGCCCTTCTGTCAATCCTCAGTTTCAATGACTAATTGAGATTGCTTCTGAAGATGTTTAAGATGGTGGTTTAAGTAGTTTTGGCCGTTAGACTCACAAGAAATTTTAATAGTTTTGTAATATTGCTTAAGTTAAGTATTCTTGATGGAGAATATATAGTGATGTGGCGATGTTACAGTAGTGTCTCAGCTGTCGGACAGAAACTTTTTATTTTGATCTTCAGATACTGTAGCCACTATGTGTAATACTACCAAGTAAAATCACTTTGTCCTGAAAAGTGGTTCCTGTCCCAGTTTCCTTTAACATTAGGAACAAACTTTTAAAATGAAAAAAATGGAATTTGTGCACTAATTGCTATTTATATGAATTCAAAATTATTTGTCAGGAGTGTGTTTCTTGTAGTTTAATTTTGCCCTATTAGAGGTAGAAGCAAGTTTTAGAGGTAACAAGGGATCTGACTGGCATGTGGCAAAATCCTTAGCTGCATGTTTGGATTAAAGTTTATTCCCTTTAAATAAGCGAAACCTGGTGAGTGGCTCTGCTTGTGCTGTCACAGTGTGTTTCCTGAAGTTGGTTGTAGACTTTCTCTGTATGGCCAATTAATTTGGTTGTGTGGGCCGGTTACAGCATGGTTTTCTCTTAATGTTATCAGCATTGTCCCAGGTTTCAAGCAAATTTGGCAGTCTCTGAGTACCGTCTGTTCTCTGGTGTTTACCTGTGATGTGAGTTGAGTGCGTGTTATCAGTGGCCATGTATTTGACCTGAGCTGAGCACAGGTTTTGAACTGTGCACTCTTAAGTGGAATTATCATTTGTAAAGTACACCTGGTTCTTAAACCAAATGCAGTTGAATAAATACTAAGTAGTTATATTCTGGAAAAACACTTCAGTGACCAGAAAGCTTTGGAACAGGCCAATGTGCAGATGAGTCTGGCAGATCAAATCTGTTTACAGTAAAGGATATGTTGAGTCTTCCATATAAAGTTTAGTTTACTGGGGGTTTCATTGTGCTGTCTGACATCTCTTCAGATAACACAGATGTGAGAGGAACCATAGCTGCCTCTTGCAGCATAAGGCAAACTTCAGTAGCTTCAAGAAAAGCTTGTCCAAACCTTTTGTCCATGTTTGTTTCATTTACCTGCTGCTTTTTTCCTCTGCAACAGACATAAGTATCTGTGTGCTTTTAAAGATGTCTTTAACGAAATGTTAACATGCCACCTAAAGGAGATCAAAGTGCCTGCAAATTTTGTTAGTTGCAGGGATGCTTCTGTAGTTCTAGCAATGGTTTTGCATGATATTTTCCATCTTTTCAGCACAAAGCTAAAATACTTTTTCCCCATCTCTCTTTTAACAGAACTTTCTGCAGAAGCTAAAGCAGCATTACTTGAATTTGAAGAGAGGGAAAGGCAGCTCAAACAGGGACGGTATGGCTCAAGGAGAGGAGGGAGAAGAGGAGGCTCGATTATGTGCCACGGAATGGGAGAACAAAGGAGAGACAATAATGATAGGGGAAGAATGAAGGATCACAGGCCTGCACTGCTGCCAAACCAGCCATCAACAATGGTACCTTTTAATCCTTAGTATTCTTTGAACATACTTTCAGGAAATTGTGGAGAAATGCATTCTGAACTGAGTCTTTACAAAGGTGGAATATATATTCCAATGTATACTTTTTTGCTCTTTCGGAGCACTGTTAGGCAAGATGGGGTTTGCATAGCATTATGATTGTGAAAGTATGTGCTTAGTCCTGTTACTGGCCTCAACTTCAAGAATCTCAAGACCTTCAAGTGAAAAGTGGATTTCGACTCCTACAACGCAATCAGGCTTACCTACTGGTTTGCATAAGGATAGAGGAAAAAGTTAATTCCTCTGAGAGGTCCTCTACGTGCAACATGGAAACATGTTCAGTCCCAAATGACTAACAGTAATTTAGCTTAAAAAAAATAGTTCTGTAAAATAATTCCTGGTTTTTGGCAAACTAATTTTTTGCTTATAGTTCTAAAAAAATCTATTTGTATACCTGCCATGATACTACGGAGGCAAATAAAACCCTAGGAAGGTAATTGTTGCTAGATAAATTAGTATCTTGGGATTTCAGATGAAATGTAGCTTCGTTACTCTTCCCCCCCACCCTGTGCTTTGTATCACAAACTGAAAGGTGTTATCTTTTTCCATCCAAAAAAACCCCTAAAACCCAGTGAGTGTGTGGTCAAGAGGTAGCCCACGCTTATTTTTGTTAACTGTCATAAAATGTGCTGGAAGATGAGATTGTAGAACAAAGCCTGTGTATGTCTTTGCAGGACAAGGTCATCTTCATTAAACAAAGGGGATTTTTTCCAACAGCAGTAACTCTAGGTGCTCATCACTAGCAGGAGTCGGTGCATATATCAGCAGTTGAGAGCCCTGCAGTAGAATATTTCGTGCTTTTAAAACAGTGAAGGTGGAATAATTTTCTTCTGTATTGTTGCAGTCTTTGCTATTTATTTTGATCTTAAATGTTGCGAACATTTTTGTGTTTATCACAGTATCTTCTTGTGCACACTTTGTAGGTGCTTTGCTTTATGTAAAAGACTGTGGAAAAATGTGTCACATCTTTGTTACTAAAAGGTTGCCTGTTTGGGACTCTTCTTTCACTACCATTTGGAAGTTACTGGTCTAGAACTGATAGCTAGTATCAGTGAGTTCAGAAGCAGAAGAATGCCTCTGAAAAGAAACATTATAATATATATGGGGTTTTTTTATTATAACTGATTTTGGCCCTCTGAATGTTGAGCAGCAAGACACTTTCTGTGTTACAAAATGTACCTTTTGAAAGGTATCTTTAAGTAGTTTTTCCTTGAAGCAGTATGGATAGGTGGGCTACACTGATATCTTAATCTAGCTTAATTTGTATTTTGACTTTGTTGCTACTGACAGGCCTGTTTTTATTCAGAGGCGCTCTTCTATACATGAGACTGTGGATTTGCTTTGATACTAGTACTCAGATTTCCAGTGATCATCACATATACCTTTTGCAGTTGATGACAATTTCCAGTGACATATGCAGAACCCCAACATACGACAAGACAGTTTCACTGTTTAAAAATGAGCAAATGAATGTCTGCATTCCCTGTGTGTTTCCTTGCTCTTTGTTGTCCTCTCCTTCACATGAATGTCTTTGTTCCTTTGCTTTCCTGTGCTGGTGGTTCTTAACAGTCGCAGCTCATGATATGGGAAAGAAGTTTTTCTGTTCATATTTGGCTTTAATTGTTCTCCAAAGATGTTTTGGCTTTGTGGTGGTTTATGTCCAGATGTTAACTTTAAAGCCTATTGACTTTATTCTTTTGTCTGACTTTAGACTCACTCACAGAGGTTAATTCCAACACACCAGCAACCTGTTAGGAGTCTGTTCCAGCAGCACCAACAACAGCAGCAGCAGCAGCAGCAGCAACAGCAACAACAGCAGCAGCAGCAACAACAACAGCAACAACAGCAGCAGCAGCAGCAACAGTTACAATCTCTGCTTCCTTTACAGCATCAGCATCATTCTTCTCCTCCTCCAGGGCTACATATGCCCCCTCAGATAGAAACACCTAGAATAATGATGACTCCACCTCCAGTGACACCTCAGCAACCGAAGAACATACACATAAATCCACATTTCAAGGGGACAGTAGTGACACCTGTACAAGGTGAGCTTTCTGAACACCCTTCCAGTCATGGGAGTGTGACTCAACTTACTCTTTGCCAGAGATGCAACAATTTGTTTGTTTATCACTTCATGGAAATGTGCTTTGGGTTGATTTTTTTTTTTTTTTTCCCCGTAAGCTTGAAACAAATGTTTTGCCTGAAGTAAGATATAATAATGTTGGACTGACCTGAAATAGTAAAGCCTTTTCAACTTCATCATCATCTTTGTTACTCTGCTGTAATGCCTGCAAAGAGTGGTAAAAATGGAAACAGAAAAGAGAACATACTTTTAAAAAGTAGCAAATGTCAGGTTTCAAAAGTAGGTAAGTACAGCAGTTTGTAATTTCCCACATCATTCCAGCTTCAGCCAAGCATTCACAGAATGACCACCCACCTGTTTCAGGGAGCATACACTGAGACACTTCTTGCACTGTAACTGCTCTTGTGAAAGGTACCGGCTGCTATCCTTACTTGATAAGATACATGCCCTCAGTTGTCCTTTCAGTGCCACATTTTTGATTGTTCAATTCACAGCCTGCAAGTACATTTTTTCTGTAACTTAACACAAGCACTCTTTGGGCTACACTTTTTAGGGCAACTCTCAGCAGAGCTGTTAACGTTACTACTTATTTAGGAAGTGTATAAGCCCTAAGAGGATAAAGAAGACACTTACGTAGCTCTGACTTGTGATGCTGTTGGGACTAGACAAAATAAATACATATATATTTATATATATATATTTACCATTAGGTTTTCTGTGTTTTTCCCCCTTCAAATCGACAGAACTCCAAGCCAGTGCTATCTTTACTTCATTTATCTGACCAGTGGAAAGTAGGAATTTGGCAGGGTAGGATATTGCCAATTGATAGAGATCTATTAGGCCTCTCACAGATGGCTTTACAGTAGCTGCATTGTAGAGATTATTTTGCTTTTTCCTGTCTAATAAAATCAGTGCTTCCCACTAAATTATGCATTGCGACAGATTATCTGGAAGCAGTCCAAAAGGTCCTTTAGTCTTGGATTTATGCCTTCTGTGCATTTTCCTAACGTTTCCAAAGCAGCAGTTATTGTTTTGTGAAAAGCAGAAATTGGTTTTAGACTATTCTAGATGCCTTTGCTCTCTCCCTGTGAAACAGTCATCAAATCTTCTGTATCGAGGTGAACAAGTGTCCTCCTAATGCCAGCAATGGCTACGGAGGATTTTCACTTTTGCCTAGCATCAAAAGTTCACCATGTTATCTTTTCTTCTGCCTGAGGTTTTTTCCATGTTATCAGGTGGCTTCAGGCTTGTCTCAGCCTTACGACTGCATTTGTGTCACTGTGGGTATTCCAGGAACTTTGCTGTATCTTGAGTATAGTCTTTTTTTCCTGTCTTTACTTGCATATCCTCATTTGAACAAAACTCTGTACCTCCTGAATGTTAGACTTCAATCCAGTATTGAAGATCTCCTTTTTTTGTTGTTGTTCTTAGATCCTATACTGCTGACTTTGTGTTCATGTTAATTTCTTGACTGTTAAAAGTTTAGTCATCTTCTCAGAATGAGCAGCCCTGAGAGGATTAGTGATCCATTTTTAATGGTTTTGAGACTTGTATTTCGGTGAGGAAAATCTTTTCTATGTGTATTGATGGCAGCTGGTTCATATGAAATACTTCTGTGCCATCCATTTTACTGAAGGAATCCATGGCAAGACTACTGAGTATTTCTGCTAATAGATGTGCAGCATACTATTAAATGCAATCTTTCAAATCGCTAGAATTTTAATCTTCTTGATCAGAGAGCATATATAGGAAGCTGAGTCTTTTGCAGTGGCTGAGAGTAGTGGCCATCTCAGTCTTTTAGTTTGCAGCAGTACGATTATATTACACAAAAGTATACGTTTACACACCTAAGGAAAATGTGTGGGAAATCAGTATTCCTCAGGGAAGATGAGCATAATTCTAAAATCTTCAATGGTATTTGCGTATTAAGGTGAATTTTTAAGCGGTTACTTCAGGCAAAGTGTAGACAGAAATTCTTGTGTAGGGAGAGCTGTTCTAAACTTCGTTATAAAAAGCCCCCTCACTTCATCCATCTGTTTGAGGCCCCAGTAGGCAGAGACTGGTAGTTGATGACAGGATTTATTTCAGTGTAACAGGAAGTATGAAAGATCAGATTGACTTCATGTTCTTGATGATTTCCTGTCCCTTCTTGGCTGAATATATTTCCAGATATATAGGGCTTTTACACATTAGAGAATTGAGTCAGATAGGTGTAAAGTTTATTTGGATTCTGTTGTTGAAAATGTGATGCCTGGAAGCTAAAAATGCCATGTCTGGAAGTGCGTGATATGCACACTTAGGTTCTGGTAATTTTAATGGTGTCCTGTCATGTTTTAGTGTAGACTGGCATTTTTCCTCTCTAATTTTATGGCAGGATTAAGCTCACATTCTTCTAATTGTCAGCACCAGGGATACTTTTTCAAACTGCAAATCATAGAAATATAGTTTCTCAACATCTTTTTGGTTTGAGTTAGTCTTGAAATGCATCGAGTATATCAGTATTTTCTAAAATAGACTTAAACCTCCTGTAAATTGTTACAAAATTTTCATGTGAATAAAATTGGATGTATAAGAGCTCTAATGGCCAAGTCCTTTAGTCTAAAAGTGAGTTGAAGCACTCTTGAAGAATCCTGTCATTGGCTTATTACTGTGATGTCTCAGAGGTAGATCTTTTACAGTGGCCACCATCTCCCTGCCCAACCTTGAATCTTGGTTCAGAAAAATAATTACGTTCAAGTAGGCTTTGTTTCAAGCAAATTTCTACTGTTCTTAGTCTTTAAAGCTTGAAAAATGGCTAAGAAGGACTTAGTCTATCAAAACCCCTAAAATGGTTATGTGAGCCTCTGTGCATACTTGCTGCAGATACTGTTCAGTTGTGCCTTTCGTGGCATTTGAATCCCATGTCGTTTAGTTCCTGTTATATAATTATATATATAAATAAATATAAAAAACCTTTAGTTGTCATATAACTTTTCTTTATGTTCTATTCTGTAAAGTAATTCTGAGTTATAAGTAGTAATTTGGGGCTGAATGCATGCACAAATTTGAGTATGATCAATTTAGAAATTCTGGAGGACTGCACATAGATGTATTATGAAATACTAATTCAACCTGTGATAATAGGTATTGAGTTTTTTCCCCCTTGATGTTTACACCACAAATAACTGTTTCAACGATACTGTGGTGCTGCCAAAATTGGCATGAACTAAAGAGCAGTTTATGGCAGCTTGATATATTAGTATGCCATTTACCTCTTAAAAACTGTTTGGTGCCTTGGGAAAAATTAGATTATACTCTCCTAAATAATCAATATGGGAATTACTTCTTCATCTTTTCAGGTATAGCATTGGAATTTACAGCCAAAAGCAATTTACTCTTCTTAAAATACTATCTAACAATATGCTGTGTATTATTTTTGAAACATACTTTTCAAATCTATGGAAGATTTGACATCAGGAAAATAAATGTTGATTTGAGACTTCTTTCCTACTTCAGCAAGTGTCCAGTGATTGAAGGGGCACAGTTTGAACTACTATCTGTCATGAATATTAAATTCATTTGCTTAAAATATATAAATACATATCTTTATATGCTACTGCCAGAGGCAGGATACTGAAATAGACATGAGTGCCCTGTTCAGTTGACATTTCTCTGGATTTCCCACCTTACACAATTTTTCTCAGTGCCTCTCTGACCTGTAATACCTGAGCTATTTTAGTCCTAGGTCTGTCAAGAGTACCCTGTCAATTTTTTCCAGGTGGCCATGGCTGGCTGATATCGACAGATGTTCATTAGAAGCCAAGATGAGACTAATTCAACTAATGTTTTTCATGTAACCTGATAGGAAGTTTGCACTCAGTCCCTTGGTACTGAAAGACTGGTGCAATTAGTTTACCCCATCAATCCCTGAACTAGTAAACCACATGTACTTACAAAATTGGACAGAAGCCACACGTGGACATGAACTAAAAATAACCACTACTGCATTATTAGTTCTTGTGCCTCAGTTACCAAGGAAAAAGGGATTTTTGAGAAAATACCAAACTCTTGCACTAGGAAATGCACCCAACTTCTCCCTTAAATTAGCTGAATTTCTCACTATCTTTTCTGCTCTGAAGTGTAATACAGTAGTTGTGTACAAAGTTGATGTTTAACCCTGTGTGGGAAATGTTTTCTTGTCACTTTCAAAGTGCTAAAAACAAACTGAAGAAAACTAACCTTGTTAAGTTTTTAGTAAATTAGCAAACACACATTCAGTGGTGTTAGAAATGCTTTATTTAGCTTCTCTGGGCCTTTTTAATATTGCAACATTTGTATTTTTAACCACTTGGATGACTGAGAGAGGAAGTAAAAAGTGCACTGAAAAATGGGAAATATGTCACACTTTGTACTGGGGACTCAGATATAGACTCAATCCCGAAGGTGATTCATCTGTAGATGCTTTATGCATTATGCCATAATACTAAGTTAATGTTTTGTGAAATGTTGTGGGGTTTTTGTGATAAGTCTTGAGATGCAGTTGTATGGACAATTCATCCATTTTAATCCCTCTGAAATACTGATGTTGGAGGTTATTTTTCAGGAAGAGGGTCTCTTGATTCTTCTTGGTGTCTCTTTATGAAAGTCTTTCATCTGAGATCAACAGTTCTGTGATTACACAAACTGATCACAGTTGCATACAGCATTATGGTGCAAGGCCAGGTTAAGTAGTTTTTACTTGCTGTTAATTGCCACTGTCTACCTCATTTTACCCTCCTATGAACAGTTATTTATACCAGATAGGCTCTCTTGCCCATGCTTATTGTGTGAGGTTGGTGGTGAGGCTGGGAGATACCTAGGAAATCTTGAGGGGCATGAAGTTGAGAAGGCAAATTAATCATGTATCCTTCTGTTTGAAACGTGAAATTATCGTTACAGTCTCTGTCAGCTTTGTCTAAGAGATGTCTTTGGCTGAATAAGTATTCTAGTTTTCCTTCCTGCAACAAGGAGCAATTTAATTCTGGAAAATGCAGAATTAAATTATGTAAATTAACTATGAGAATCCTAATTGCCCTGTTGCATGTTGCAGAGAAGGGAATGGTTGCTGAAAGTTAATTGTAGGAACTATGACATGTGAGGGTAAATGTAGCAGATTTTAATCATAGCTTCTTATTGCAACTGCTTTTGGAAATAACAGCAACAACTGTTAGGTAAAACAAATGGTGTTAAAAGGTGCTTCTTGTTTCAGTGCCCTTGCTGCCTGTTCCAGCCCAGCCAAGACCTGCTGTAGGACCCCAGAGATTTCCTGTGAGTAGCAGCTGTTTCTTCTTCTCTGATATGGATAAGCATACATTTGCAAAGAAATATTAATATAGCAAATAAAAGCTGTTCTAGTGAAATATAATTTTAAGGATTTGTAAATATTGACAATACACTCTGCAGTTGAAAATGTTTGTTAAAAGCTTAAGGTCAATGGATTTTTGAGAGTAGAATTAATTCTGTTTAACTGTAAAATTGTTGAACCAGTCTCTCCAGTGGGAGAGGCATGAATGCATCTTGTCTTAAGGAATATGGGCTTCATTTTATTACTTGACTCTTTCTGTATAAATAGAATTCTTATTTTATTTGATATAATAAAAGACTATTTGAAATAATCTCTAAGCTTAAAAAGCAGTGATATATATCTATTGTAAAAATCAGCAAGCGTTTTTATTTTACTACAGGCATTTGAATGCCCTCAGGTTTTTTATGTTAAAAATCAGAACAGCATTGCATGACCTTGCTTTCTCTTTATGTTTCTAACTTCTAAAACAAACAAGGCACCTAACTGCTTCACTAGGCTAATTCCACTTGATAATTTTTTTAATTCTGTGAATGGAGAGAGTGCATGCTTCTAGACCTTTTCTCATCATTTCAGAGTTTTGTTATCATAAATTTTTACTTCAGGTGGTTTTCAGAGTATCAAAAGGTAGCAAAAGAAAAAATAGTTTATGCGATATCGCCCTAAATATTTTCAAATAAAGACCCATGTATTATGTTTCCCAAATACATAAAACACAAAAATTATTCTCTGTTAATGTGTGCAGTGTTGAAGGAGCAAAGTAGAGGTTTATGAACGTCTCTGTAGTATCACACAGTAAGTCTCTTGCATAGAGATCAGACGTATTTCAGAAACCTTCTGTGACTTTTGCCATGTGTGTACCTGCTTGTTTTTGATGCAGAATATTCTTCATACAGGACATCTAGCTGAGGAATTGTGATGTCTGTATTTTTACAGTAACTGAGTTTTTAAATTGCCATGTTTTTTATGCAAAGTATAAAAAGGTTAAGCAGTTAAACCACAGTTTCATTAAGTAAATTTGTTATATAATTTCATCATCAACACTGGGGATATTTTTTATTTAAAAATATTGCCATTTTCAGAGGAAGTTATTTTCTTCAGCAGCATTTAGTATTATGTGGATATGTTATTATAATTTTGAAAGTAATTCTGATTGTTTTGTATGAAAACAAGTATCTTACATTTGTTTTCTTTTGACACTTAAGTTGCTTTGCCAATAAACACAATTTGGGATGGAAAAGAAATTGGAGGACAAAGAATATCTGTAAAAGGCATTGTAATTGACATCTTTGAAGTGGGTTTGTCAGTGTAGAAAAACAGGAAATTATTTTTTTAAAATTGACTGTGAAATTAGATTTTAATTCTGTACACTTTTGATTTCACAAGTTGAGAAGTACTGCAAAAAGGGAATAAAATAGATTGAATATTTTTGGTAGGACTGTTGCTCCTTTTGCCTGTAAGAAAATACTTGACTGCTGCCTTTTCATGTAAGCAATGCACTAGGAAAGAGTCGGTGTAGTTCTTTTTTTCATGAAGAGGAGGAGGCCTAGTTTAACTAAGAGGATCTAGTACTGTGATTTGGTTGCCCTGAGGTTTTTTCCCCCTACTTCAGCTAGTAACCTACTATATGACCCTGAGAAAGTTACTTAATCTTTCCATGACTCACTTGAATTATAAAATGGGTATAGTATGAACTTCTGTTATGAAGTACTTCATAAATTTTGCATAGGTTATCAGTCATATTAGGATTAGGAATTAAGTGTCACTGTGTACATATCTTATGTTTGTTTTATTAAATGTAGTATGTTAGCTCTTGAGCTGAAGACAAATTTACTTTCTGACTAACATTTTATCTTGCAGAACTACCTGTTTTGCTCTGTTACATGTCAGATGTCTTTCTGCCATTATAATTCAGTTGTTTATGTATAAATGTTGACTTATAGCAGTGTAGAAATGGTTAGACAACTTTGACAAGCCATTTGGAAAGGATCAAAGAAGTATTTCAGACTGTAGTTCATTCATACTTTTCCCCATTGTAGAAAGAATCTCTGTATATGTAATAACTTCAATTTGCTCTTGTTTTCAGGATTGCCTAATCAGAGGATGATAGTTAATTGACTTTTTTGATGGCTTTGTTTTTAAAAAATTTGGGGTCAGATTTAAATAATTTGTAGCCTCCTTTCCCCTTTAACTTTAAATGAATGGTTTATTTTGATTAATGTTTCCACCTCTGCCACATTCAAAGGTAATAATTCAATTCTTGCAAGGGAGAGACCTAAAAGTGGCTAGTGCCCTAACTGAAGGAAAAATTGCCTGTGAGTTCCTATCTTATTTGGGAGAGAAACCTTTCAGCATAGAGAGCCTGTGTGTGCTCTGATCATGGGAAGAACTTCAATCAGAGCTAATCAGTTGCAAGTCATAAATCCACTGGAAGCCAGGTGTTAATAATTTAGGGGTAATGAAGTGACTTGTAACCATGTAATGGTTAATTCTTACAGCTTTCTTCAGAAGGATGTAATTGAAGAGTTGAACAAAGTTGTAATGAGCATGTTAGCATATTGCTGTGAGTTCTAAAGTATAAGAAACTATGTAGTACTAAATCAGAGTAATCTTGATCATGACTGACCCTGCTTGGAGTTGGGACTGATTAAATTCACTTAACCTTGAATCTAAATTTTAATATTTCAGGATATTTCATTGTTCATTTATTTCTTATTTAAGGCTTAACTCCTGAAATGTTTAGAAAGTACTAGAAAGGACATAATGGATGAATCTGTGTTCCCTACTTAGAGTTATTTTAACATTTACAGTAATTTCAATCAAGCAAGAAAGTTGTCTATCTCTTACTCTGTAAGCGTTCAGGGTGACTTTGAATGGTATTTGAGAGCTATATTCAACTGATTAGGATTGATTAAATGGTGGATCTGAGGCATGTTATAGCTGAGAAGTGTGGTGAACTTGTAACTGGGAGTTAAAGACCTCAGTTCTGCAAAGGCTTCCTTGCTTGTCTAAATTGCACAGTACTCCTCAGGTGGCTGTAGGTGATAGTAATCCAATCTTAAAGTATAGTCAATGCTAATATTTTTCCAGGCATTTGAATTAACCTGGAGCTGTGCAAGTGCCAAGTGCTTGTTTTAACTGTTTGTTAAACTGTTTAAAGAACAGATTAAGCTAACTTCTGAAGGTCTTGTGTTTTACCATCTGCCCTTGCTTTAAAGTGGTTTAGATGCCTTTTTCTGACTTCCTGTCTCAGTGTCACAGTTGGTTTTCACAAATAACAACCTACTTTGGGGACTGATAGATATAAAGGAAGGTGATGGAAGACTTTATTCATAGACTAGTTGTATGGGTCTTCTGAACTTTTCACATGTTTTCTGACAAAATTATAAATTCTTTGCAATGCCCCAGTGCAGGTACGGAGCCTGTCCTTTTTATTGTTACACAAGAGGGACCATTATGGTTCCTGTCCTCCAGTGCTTGTTATCTGGGCTAATTTCTCTTTAAACTCTTGCATTCTGTGAAGAATGATGAGGGAAAACAAGGAAAGAGGAAATGAAATAAAAAATGGAAGAGGTATTTCTAAACACTTTATAGGTAGGCTGCTGTTAACTGACTATTACAGAGGCCAGATCATTACTTAATATGAAATTAGGAGCTAAGTTGATGGTCCAGATCTTTCCATTCCTTAGGTAAGTTCATCAGCACATTCTGTGTCTGAAATATTTCAGTGTTCGTCTGAAGAAAAATTTATAAAGACTTTGCTTCAAACATAATTTATTTAACTTAATGAACACTAAAGTAATACTCATGTGGCATATGTGCAATTCTTGGAAGGACATACAAAAGTGTAACTAGTGTTGTCATGCCCTCTTTAGGATAGAGCATGGCTGAGGGAAGGCGTTTCCCTGTCAACATTCTTCAGCCAGAAATTATGAGGTATCCCTAGCATCCAGATTTGGGGCTGGAGTGGGCATTTGGAGTGAAGAGGAAGTTGGGGAGAACCTGCCTCACACTCAAGGCAGAAGACAGGAATTTCTTGGATCTGAGGCCAATCCCCCTCTGTCTCTGTCCTGGATCCCTTTCTGAAACCGCTGTAGAGAGAGCAGAGCCTGTTAACGCAGCTCTATGCCTTTTGCCAGGAGAAATTTCAGAAAATTGGGATAAATTCCAATTTAGCCACTGACCTTAACCTGACACCCTGGGTGTGGTGTGCGCTGGGCAGGTGTCCATCTCACGGACACATTTTATTGATTTTTGTTAACTTGAGTTTCAGAGCTGAAGTTAGGAATAGTCTGAAGTGGCATGAAGCACAAGATGAACTGACACTAGTATCTGCCTGACTAATTAATACCGCGAAGGCTTTTCTCTTTTGATAGGACACCTTAGTTGGCACACTGGGTGCCTTTCAGATAACTGTTGAATTGTGTAACATTGTTTTATTCATTTTTAAAAATAAGACTTTTATTAATAGAGTGACTTGTCCTCAGGCCCTTGTGAATAGTCTACATCACATGTATTTGCAGTTCCCAGGGGGTTTGACATGATTTGGAAGTTACCCTACAGTTTCTTTTCAAAATCATCTTTATCTCAAAGAATACTTCATTATTTCCACCCTCCTTCTTAAACTGCAAAAATCTTAGTAAACTTTCTTTATATTCTCATTCACAGTGCTTCCTTCCACTTGATCTCTGGGGCATTAGGTGTCGTCTTAAATGGATGCTGTGAAAGGCAGTTAAGTCTTGATGCAGTTTTTTCACCATCTCTGAAAACTCTTGTTTGATGAATTCTGAGACCTTTCAAGTGTTGTAATTCAGATACTGTTTTTAAACACTTCTTTATGCTTTAATCTGAGAAGTTTTTAAACAGGTGCCCAGTCATTGCTCAAAACAGAGGTTTCTGTCCTTCATTGCCACTTGATTGAAGCAATTCTTTTAGATAAGTAATGCCATACAAATTAATTAATTAT